TAGATACGGCGAGTGGCGCTCTGTCGTCGGAGTATACTTTTGGTTGGCCGAGGATAAGGGTCGGGAAAGTGAGGGGAATAAAGGGCGTCGTGGTGAAGGATGCGGCCTTGCCTTTAAGAAGGCTCGCTTTGAGAATATCGGACAGAAGATGCTCGAACTTGGCACGGATGGTTTGCTGCAGGAGTTCACTCCTGAGGAGATCGCTATGCTCAAGGAGCGATGGGCTGGGGTTGATATTTTCAAGGATGTTTTTGACAACCTCGGTATGATTGGCCAACTACTCACGTTGAAGGATAAGGCCACTTCCAAGTTGTATATTGCGGTGAATACTCATCTTTATCACAGCCCTAAGGCGCCCCATGTGAAGGTTTTGCAGACGCATATGATCATGAAGGCACTTGAACGACTGCTGGCTGAGATCCCTGAGGCTGTTCCTATCTTCTGCGGAGATCTCAACTCTTCCTTCCCTGCTGAAGTTGTTGTGGACTACATCACGAGAGGGGATATGCCTGCTGACCATCGGGACTGGCGAAACGGCCCGTTTTTCACCTGGACGAACCGCGAGTGTGAAGGTGCTGATCGATCGACCGTCAAGGGCCCTCTCGGAATACCATTACACCACGGTGTTAAGAACCTCGAGCATGTTCCTGAGGAGGGATACACGAACGCCGTTTGTGGTTGGGCGGGAATCATCGATCACATCTTCTATGACCGTCGTCACCTTCGTCCAGTGTGGAGTCTACCTATACTATCTAAGGCTGATATCGAGTCTTGCAATGGTGCTCTACCGTATAAGTCCTATGGCAGCGACCATTGCATGCTCACTACTGAATTCCAAACATTACTGTGAATGAGGACTGCTTAACTGGAGCAGCAAGCTCGAGATTATTAATAGCCGTTGACAATTCTCTAGTTGTTGTTCAGCGAGTGTAGGGTTTCCCTATGAGAGTATAAAGATCATTGCGTTGAAAAGTTAGTGCCAATAGTAACATAGTCGGAGTATATTGCGTACTAGAAATTCTCCAACATCCGCAACTGCTGAATCGATCTGGAAGTATGATATTCCAGATCTCTTATTTTGATTTATAGTAGCCAGCGATGCTATGAGGAGTCTCGGTTGTGGTGAGAGTAGTTTTGTAAGCCGATTGTTATATGCGGTGATCATGGTCAAGATGGCATGTGTCAATTTGAAGTCCAATGTCGTCGTCGGCTTAGACTCGAAATGCCAGCCAGCATTTTAGTAATGACCTTTGTTCGGCTATCTAATAAATTCTGATGCTATAGTAGGAACGGGTTAGATGGTTATGAATCGAATTTTTGCTGAACTCACGAGCCAATTGAACTTCCTCCTTTCTAACGATTCCAAATCATATTCACTCTATTCTCCATGATGAGTATTACGAACACACGCTTAGAATCGAGTGGAAACGCATACGCAGTGATCCATCTACTGTAGGGAGTCCCACTAGGGTCCCTACAGGAGGAAATGGAAGTTTGTAACAACGAAGTACCCGACAAGATTGACAGTTCTATGACGAGCCTGATGGTTTGAAATTCGAAGTTGAAATGCCTATCAACATGAGATCGAATTTACTATCGACCTCTGGAGAATTTGAACGCTCTATGGCCAAATTGAAACTTCCGAGAATGAATATGATTTTCCTATTTCGGATTCGTAGCACGAGTTTCGTATCTCCAACTTGATGCGTCCCGACGGAATTGATGCTTCTGAGGACGAACTCGACGGCTGTATATGGGCTCCCTGTCATTCAAAAGTTTTTTATCCAGTGTTGTACAGTGGTTAGTAGGATAGACCGTTGTGCGATAGGGCGTGGGTTCGGTCCCCGCCGCGGATATTTTTTGTCGTTTTTCGAGCACCTTGGATGTTGGTTACCATATTTGTCTAACATTCTATGAACTCATTTTATAGTCCACCTAGTCCGGTCCAGCCCGTAATGAGCCCATTGCAAGACCATCTCGATCGATCGGCAGCGCCTCGAAGCTTTTCTCACCAATGACCACCGGCACCTCCTCCTTCTCATCATCATCAGGAGGAGACGTCTACTGGCAAGCAGACACTCCCTTGCCACTAGCAGTAGACGCTATTGACATCAGGGAAGTGCCAGGAGAGGTTCAGTTCAGCGAGGAGACCGTGAAAGGTAGGAGGTAATAGCAGTTGAGCGTGTT